CAGGGAGAGGAGCATAAGGCAGAAAAGGACACACACACACACCCCAGAGGACACCACTTGCTCCTGGCCATCAACAGAGATCCAGTGGCCGAAGCCTGACCATTCCCACTCTCCCTGAAGATTTTACTTGTAAACATTTTCTCTGGAGAATACTCAAAGCTCCAGAAAAGTAGAAAGAATAGTTCGGGGCTGGTGCTGTGGCACAGTGGATTAAAGCCCCAGCCTGCAGTGCCAGCATCCCATATGGGCACTGGTTCGGGTCCCGGCTACTCCACTTCTGATCCAGCTCTCTTCTATGGCCTGGGAAAGCAGTGGAGGATGATTCAAGTCCTTGGGCCCCTGCACCCTCATGGGAGACCCAGAAGAAACTCTTGGCTCCTGGCTTCAGATCAGCTCAGCTCTGGCCATTTCAGTCATTTGGGGAGTGAACCAGCAGAATGGAAGACCTTTCTCTCTCTGGCTCTAACTCTCTCTGTAATTCTGTCTTTAAAATAAATAAAATATTTTTTTAAAAAAAGAAAGAATAGCTCAACTATGACCATAATACCATTATCAGAAGAAAATTAACCTTCATTGCATAATAAATAAGATAAGCCCATATTCAAAACTATACAGTTATCCCATGTGTCTTTTATAGATACTTTTGACTCAAGACCTAATCAAGGTCCACTCATTAAATATAATACTTGGTCTCCATCTACAAGAGATTTTCTTATTTTTTAAGAAAATAACAGTGAACCAATGCCATCTTACTAGTCAGAGTGATTAGTTTAAGTTCATAATTGATCATAATGATAGGATTAAGTGTCAAAAGGATCACATAAACAAGATCAGTGTCTGCTAATAATAACTGATAGAATTAAAAAAGTAGAGAGCAATCCAACATGGGAAGTGGGTTACACAGCAGACTCATAGAATGGCAGATGCCCTAAACAGCACTCTGGCCTCAGAATCAGCCCTTAAGGCATGCGGATCCAGCTAAAAAGCCCTTGAGAGTTTCTCAGGCATGGAAAGCCAAGACACTGTGGCAAAAAAATGACCCAAATGAAAGATCTCTGTGAGATCCCAGTGGAAACAACAGGCCATCAAAGAGGGAGGTACCTTTCTCTGAAGGGAGGAGAGAACTTCCACTTTGATCATGGCCTCGTCTAAATAAGGTCGGAGTTTGTGAACCAAGAAGCTTCCATAGCCTTGGCAGCTCATGACAAGAGCCTCGGGTGATTACTGACATCATAAATAAGAGTGTCAATTGTTAAATCAACAACAGGAGTCACTGTGCACTTGTTCCCCATGTAGGATTTCTGTCCTTAATGTGTTGTACTATGCGAATTAATAATAAAACTAGTCTTCAAACTGTACTTTATACTTTGTGTGTCTGTGTGGGTGCAAACTGTTGAAATCTTTACTTCATATATACTAAGTTGATCTTCTGTATATAAAGATAATTAAAAATGAATCTTAATGAAGAATAGGATGGGAGAGGGAGTAGGAGATGGGATGGTTTGCGGGTGGGAGGGAGGTTATGGGTGGACAAACCACTATAATCCAAAAGTTGTACTTTCGAAATTTAAATTTATTAAATAAAAGAAAATAACATTGAATTTGCTGAGGGGGTTAAGCCCATTTTTTGGTAGAATATCCTGCCTTCTGGATGTTTGTTAATAGATCCAACTGAACAAGTGTGCATGCATGGTACACAAGAGACACTGTGTGCTACTTCATCACATCACCTCAGCAGCCCCAGAGCACTGGGCTGCCCCAGGTGCATGATGTTCGTCTGCATCACTTGGTGAAATGCTGGCAGCCAGACTGCTGCACTGTAAGCTACACTGTCCCTTCAGAATCCATACACAGACTGCTGAAGTGATACTTGGAGACCGTATGTATTTCCTAATACTCCATGATAACCTTTTGCTAACTAGTTTTGCATCCACTGATAAGCCTATCTGGCAGGCACAAAATAAATTTTCTAAATTAAGGACAGGCATTTGGCATATCAGTTAAAAAACCGGTTGGGATGTTTGCATCCCATTTTGGAGTACCTGGGTTCAAGTCCTTGGTCTGCTTCCAGCTCTAGCTTTCTGCTAATCCTTGGAAGCAGCAGGTGGACAGCTCAAGCAGTTAGGTCCCTATTACCCACATAGAAACCCTGGATTGAGTTAAGTTCCTGCTTTAGTTTAGCCTAGCCCTAGCTCTTACTTTATTTTTGTTAAGATTTATTTATTTATTTGAAAGTCAGAGTTACACAGAGAGAGAAGGAGAGGCAGACAGAGAGAGAGAGAGAGAGAGAGAGGTCTTCCATCTGCTGGTTCACTCTCCAGATGGCTGCAATGGCCAGAGCTGTGCCAATCTGAAGCCAGGAGCCAGGAGCTTTCTCTGGGTCTTCCACATGGATGCAGGGGCCCAAGGACTTGGGCCATCTTCCACTGCTTCTCCAGACCATAGCAGAAAGCTGGATTGGAAATAGAGCAGCCGGGTCTTGAACCGGCGCCCATATGAAATGCCGGCATTGCAGGTGGCAGCTTACCCGCTATGCCACAGCATCAGCCCTCAGCCCCAGCTCTTACAGGCATGCATTTGGGGAGTGAACCAATGGAAGGAAGATCTCTCTCTCTCTCTGTCTCTCTCATCCCTTTTGCCCTTCAAATAAATAAAAATAAATTTAAAACTTTACTTTTTTATAAATTAATTAGCTGGCATTCTATAAAGTAGAGCCTTCCCTTGGAGCCAAATAGCATCCCACGTGGGCACTGGTTCGAGTCCCAGCTGCTCCAATTTCAGTCAAGCTCCCTGCTAATGGCCTGGAAAAAACAACAAAAGATATTCCAAGTATCTGGGCCCCTGCACCCATGTGGGAGACCTGGATGAAGCCAGTCTGGCCTGGCCCCAGTCACTGTGGGCTTTTGGGGAATGAACTATGGATGGAAGATATCTCTCTCTTTCTTTCTCTCTCTCTCTCTGTGTGTGTGTGTGTGTGTCTTCCACTTCTCTCTTTCTATGTAACTCTTCCTTTCAAATAAATAAATAAATCTTTGGGGAAAAAAATAGAAGAAGAGCCTTCCCTTTCCTCCGCTCTCTGATTATATACACATGGAATATTATTATTATTATTATTACTATTATTTAGTGTGTTATATCCCGTTACTGTCACCTTTATTTCGATGCTCAAGTTGTTACTCTGACCAGTGAGAGTCCTCCAAACCAGGCTCCTCGTTCTTTGCTCTGACCCCACTTGTCTCAGTACCACTGTCCGGCCTTCTGGCCAGGTCCCCCAGGCCTACCATGATGCTTTGCTGCTCCAGCCTGGGTGGAGCCATTCTCCTGGACTACTTTTGGATCTTCTCAAGTAGATCAGCAAGTTTACCTTCACCCACCTTCCTAATCACAATTCCATTTTCCTTCCTCACTACTTCCTTTCCCTGACATTCATCATTTGCAACAGCATCATTTGTTATGAGGAGAAAGTGGGAAGACAAAGGGCGTAAGAGGAGGGAAGGAGACACAGGTTTACAGAAAACACAGGGATAGTACCAACCACTTACTGGTCAATGAGACACTTCTTTCATTTATGGCTGAGAACATGATTGGTTAACTCCAAAGAAATTTCTATCTCATGGGGCTGGCGCTATGGCTCAGCAGGTTAAAGCCCCAGCCTGTAGTGCCTGCATCCCATATGGGTGCCAGTTTGAGTTCCCGCTGTTTTACTTCTGATCCAGCTCCCTGCTAATGTGCTTGGGAAAGCAGTGGAAGATGGCCCAAGTGCTTGGGTCCCTGCACCCATATGGGAGACCAGAAGAAGCTCCTGGCTCCTGGCTTCAGATAGACTCAGCTGCAGCCATCACAGCCATTTAGGGAATGAATCAGCAGATGGAAGATCTCTCTCTCTCTCCCCCCTCTCTGTAACTGTCTTTCAAATAAAAAAATAAAAAAACTTTTTAAATTGCTATCTCATGATTCCATGTATGAAAGTTTACTATGAAATCTATATTCAACCACTTTATTTCATATTCATATAAAACACATGTACAAGAAAAAAGTACTGCTGACTCCCTTGTTCCCTGGTTCTCTCCTCCTCTTCGTTTATTTGTCTCCATTAGCACTTACTACCGCCTAAACTCTATAAAATAAACTTAATTATTTTGTTCATTTTCATTCTTGTCCCACTAGAATAAATTCCATGGAACTGCATGTGTATGTGTGTGTGTGTGTACATACTGCTTTGTTCACTACTATACTGCTAGTATCTAAAATACTGCCCAGAATACAGCAGGTGCCCCATAATTGTTGGTGAATAAGTAAAATGACTCGGCCAGGACCACAGGCCTAGAGGTAGGCAGGCGCTCCGATTTATCCTTGAAGCCTCTGGTTCACTGTCACCTTCCAAGCAGTCAATGATGTCCTTTCTGGGCTCTCAGAGCCCTTCCTGTATCAATGGATCCCAGCACTCAAAATATCACGTCACCACTGTTTATTTACACGCCTGCCTTACCTGAAAATCCGCAAACTCCCCTAAAGCAAAGGCAGCCTTATCTCCCCAGCACTTAGTACCGGAGCAGGCACAAAGTGTTTGCTAAACTCCTACCTCAGGCCAAGAAGGTGCCCTTTCTCCAGCCCTGGGCTACCTGCTGCACTTCTCCCGCTTGCCCCGCCTTCTGCCCCGAGCACCTGAGACAGGCTCTTGGCGCAAAGGCGGCTCACAAAGGGCCCTTTGACTCCACCACATGGGTCTATTTCAGGAAAAACCACAGTCCCCTGCACCTGTTACTAAGGCCAGTGTCCCTGCAGCCTTGAGGCAACACAGAGCCACAGTGTTCACCAGGAAACAGGAGCAGGAACACGGCACTGGCAGAGCCAGCTGGGGAGGGCCGAGGGACTGCGGGGGAGAGAGGAGAGGCAGTGGGAAGGTGGAGGGGGCAGAGCTGCCGAGCGTCAGCATCGTGAGCGGCCCAGCCAGGGGCTGCAGGAACAGCAGGTTACAGCCCTGCCTCGAGATCTCTCACCTGCTCTTTTCTCTCAATCTTCTTTTCACTTTGCTCAGGAACCGGACTCTCGGGGGGCACAGTCAGCCGCAGCCTACAGACATTTGCCTGCAAGAGGTGGACAGGAGAAGCAGGTTAGCAACCATCGGTCAGGAAGAAGGGGCCAAGTGACCTTGAGCTTCGCACAGCCTGTTCCTCCCACCCGGCCATGGGAGCCACTGTACCAATCAGGAGAGGAACAACGAGGAGACCAGCCCGTGCCTGGCCCTGCAGAGTCTGCTGCCCCAAACAAGAGAACAACCGAGGACTTCAGAGAACTCAAATCTCTCTTAAATGCCCATATTCCATTCAATGATCTCACTTCACAAGTGCCGACCAAAACACACCCGGAAGGCCAGGTGCCAAAAGACACACAGCGATTATCTCTACAATGGTGAGATTTCAGGTGACTGGGGTAGAAGGATGTTTTCAAGTTAACAATTCGATTTTTCTACAACAGACATGTACACGTTTAATTGCAAAGCTTAGAAAGAAAAGTCTGTATTCACAGCAGCATTATTCATACTAGGCAAAAGGTGGAAACACCCAAACTTCCACGACAGGTAAATGGATAAATGCAAACTGCCAGGCTGTTGCTAGGCATCTGGGATGGAGGATCCTGTGCATGGGAGATCTATCTCTGTCTCTTCCCTTCTAACCCCGTATCTCTAACTCTTCCTCTGCCTCCCTCTATAACTCTACCTTTCAAATAAATAAGACTTTTTTTAAAAAAATAAAATGGGGGGGGGGGGCAGCGCTGTGGCATAGTAGGTAAAGCCGTCATCTACAGTGTTAGTATCTCATATGAGAGCCAGTTCGAGACCTGGCTGCTCCACTTCGGATCCAGCTGTCTGCTATGGCCTGGGAAAGCAGTAGAGGATGGCTCAAGTGCTTGGGCCCCCGCACCCACATGGGAGACCTGGAAGAAGCTCCTGGCTCCTGGCTTTGGATAGGCCCAGCTCCGGCTGTTGTGGCCATTTGAGGAGTGAACCAGTGGATGGAAGACTTTTCTCTCTGTCTCTTTCTCTCTCTATGTGTAAACTCTACCTCTCAAATAAAATGAAATCTTTTTTAAAAATAAACTAAACTGAACTTATGAAATAAAACATTTGACTCCAAGGTTGTTTGGCAGTTGCATCAGGGTCCTGTCTTAGGCAAGAGAGGGGCTTTGATGGAGACACAAAGGAGCACGAAGGAGCCTATCCACGGATGGGCCAGCTGTCCAGGAGCAATGGAAACCCAGCATGAAATAGAATCACACTCCCTCCTGCCAAGATGGCCACAGGTATCATTATAGCAGAGAAAACAAATTACAGAACAAAATGTGCAAAATTCTGCTTTTGCTCTGAACATCCTGATAATTTGTGCAGATTAAGGGAAAAATATTATCAAGGAAACACAACCAACTATTGATGGCATTTATCTCTGGAATTTCTGTGTTGTCTGCAACTGTTTCAAGTATATGTTAGTTTTTAAATTAATATAACAATATAGTGGCAATGGCAAAAATGAAGAATAAGAATGTGTCAGAAAGAGACAGTCTGCTTTGGGAGCAGCAAAGAGGACATACTAGACAAGGTCTGGAAGGTTCTCTGAGTTCCTACGGAAGCACTATGGAAAGGAACCCCTGAACTCACCTATCACATTGACCCCACAGAGTGCACTTCCCTCTATGAATCACCTTCAGCAATCTTCCCATGGGAAATTCTCCCCATGTGACATCAAGGCCCCATAGCTTATCTCTGAGCGTTATGATGCCGATCACCATGGCTTCCTGAAAATTAGATATACAATACCCAGAGCCACCCCAGGCTGGGAAGCACCTAAGAGTTAGGTAAGGCACTTTTTTTTCAGGGGGTTTCCACGGCTGGCTCAGCCCTCGTGCTCTGAACAATGCAGAGAAGGGCATCTCACTTACCCTGACTGCTACAGCTATTGGACCAGCCATCCCTGCAAGCAAGCATCCTTTCGAGTGGATCAGAGCAGGAAGCTGGACTCAGCAAAACTCATTACTCAGCTACTAAGCACCCACTACATGTAAAGGACCATGAGGGTACCTTGATGACAAAGAAATGGCTGTGCCCCCCAGGAACTCACACTCTAGAACCATACCCAAACAAGGCAATCAGAGACCCTTAGCATAACCAATGCAAGGCCCCTGAGAGGCAGGGTAGCTTGTAGCTAAAGCCTAGTGGAACTACACTTCCTGGTTTCCAATACAGTCAGTCCACATAAGCTCCTCATCTGTGGATTCAGCAAACTGTGGATCAAAAATATTCAGAAAAAGGGGCAGGTGCTTGGCCTAGCAGTTAAGATGCCACTTGGGATGCCCATATCTCATACTGGAATACCTGGGCTTCAGTTCTGGCTCCACCCCCAATTCCAGCTTCTTCCTGCTAAGACGCATCCTAGAAGGCACATGATGATTTAAGGATTTGGTCCCCGCCACCAACGTAGGAGAATGGGATTGAGTTCCTGACTCCAGGCTTCAGCCTGGCCCAGCCATGGCTATTGCAGGCTTTTGGAAAGTGATCCAATGGTTTGGAACTCTCTCTCAAAAATTTTTAAAGATATATTCAAGGGGCCAGCATTATGACACAGCAGGTTAAGCTGCCACCTGTGGCACCAGCATTCCATATCAGAGCACTGGTTTGAGTCCTGGCTGCTCCCGCTTCTGATCCAACTCCCTGTTAATGCAGCTGGGCAAGCAGCGGAAGGTGGCCCAAGTACTTGGGTCCCTGCCATCCAGCTGAGAGACCTAGAGAGAGTTCCAGGCTCCTGCATTACTCGTGGCTCAGTCCCAGGCTTTGTGGCCCTTTGCAGATTGAACCAGTGGGTGGTGGATCTCTTTCTCTCTGTCTCTTCCTCTCCCTGTCACTCTTTCAAATAAATAAAATAAACCTTTAAATATATATATATAAGAATACACCCACACACGTGCAGATTCAGAATAAAAAGTTGCATTCATACTAAAAGTACAGATTTTTTTCTCTAAACAACACAGCACGACAACTGTTTACATAGCATTTACATTTTATTTGGTACTGTAAATAATCTAGAGATGGCTTAAAGTATACGGGCAGATGTCCATAGGTGCTACACAAAGATTATACCATTTTATATAAAGGGCTTGAGCATCCCCAGATTTGGTGTCCACCATGGGTCCTGGAACCAATCTCCATAAATTCTGAGGGACACTGTACATCGACTAGCATGAAGCCTTCAGAAAACTACCTGATTGTCAGTGTTTCAGCTACCTTGGTTGTGCAGCAGAACCAATGGTACTGTATCTCCTTGGGATTAAATCAGCTACTATGTATAACAGTGCAAGTTTTCTGGCATGTATTAAGTCCTCTGAGTTCTTTATTATCAGGAAGGGGACGCCAATCTTAATTAGAGCTGGGACTGGATGATAAGGCTCCTAGAGATGACATCCGAGCTAAGTATAGAAGGGCACCAAGGACTCTGCAGGACAGTGAGGTTGGAGAAGCTATCGTCTCCATGGTAACATAGACAACTACTGAGCAAGGCAGGCCAAGCAGGCCAGAGGTACAGATGCTGGTGTGTTCAGAGAATCCTAAGAGGACCTGCAGCCCAAGCTAGAATAGGAGACGAAAAGGAACACGTAGGCAGGTGCCAAATTCTAGGGTGCAGAAGCACGTGTTCTAATGAGAAAACAATGGAGAACCATTGAAATCCAAGTTCCTTTCAATACTGACTCAACTGACGGTTACTGAGCACCTCCTATGTCCCCCGCACTGAACAGCCTCGTGGTGCTTGGCAGAGTCTCAACACGTAAGGAGTGCTTGCTTCACAAATGTCATGTAGGTTGAACTGAAACAAAGCAAGCAGATTATACCTGAAACTCCCTATTATATCTTCCACTTTCTTCAACCCAAGCCCCCTGAGAGCTATGGATAGCACTCAGGCTTCCTCTCCAAGAAAGGGCACAACCAGGGCACCCAGGGAATTCAGCGGGCTCCCAGGGCCTCCTTTCTGACCCCTCTGTGGAAGCAAGGGGTCTGGGCCTCTCACCTTGGGAGCACCCGGGGATCCACATCCATCATGCTCTGAGCTTCTGCACCTGGGCTCACTCAAGGGAAAAACATCCACCTCAAATAAAAAGGAGAGGACTTATTTAGTCAAGGCCGTATCACAGTGGAGGTTCCTTCCTCCCTTCAGAGAAAGGTGCCTCCTTCTTTGATGGCCTGTTCTTTCTGCTGGGGTCTCATTCACCGAGATCTTTCATTCAGGTCATTTTTGCCACAGTGTCGTGGCTTTCCATGCCTGTGAGACTCTCGTGGGCCTTTTAGCGAGATCCAAATTCCCCAAGGTTGATTCTGAGGCCGGAGTGTATATAAAGATAATTGAAAATGAATCCTGATGAAGAGTGAAATGGGAGAGGGAGAAGGAGAGGGGATGGCTGCGGGTGGGAGGGAGGTTACTGGGGAAAAAGCCACACAATGCAAAAGTTGTACTTTGTAAATTTACATTTATTAAATAAAAAAAAGGAGAGAAGAAGATGACCCAGGGAGGTGACAGGGATTTGCTTATTGGTTTAGAAACATGGATTTCCCTAAGGAAATTAACCAAATGTATTTACATATCTCTCAGGCCTGCTCAGCTTGGTGACTGCAGGTCACTGCCCAGCATTCCCTAGGAACAGGAGGTGCAGCCCCTCCCTGTGGGTGTGGCCAGGAGGCAGACCATACACACACTCTGATCAGCAGAAGAATCAAATCAGCAGATTGTAGGCCAGGTTGTGTGGGGAGTGGAGCATGACCCATCTAGATTAGGCCTCTGAGCTCCTGTGGCCGTGAACTTGCACTCTGATTATCTACATCAGGGTGGGGCAAAATTTTTCTGTAGAGGGCCAGGGCGTAAATATTCAGCATTTGCAGGCCTGTGTAAAAACAAAAACAAAAACAAAAAACAAACAAACAAAAAAAAAATCCTAGCTCAGAGGCACCCAAAACAAGCCAGGGCGAGGTTTGTTCTAGGGGTAGGAGCTGGCCGTCCTCAGATCTCCATCCTTGGACTCTTGTTCCAGGTGGTATAAGTGTCCTGGAGCCCCTCTGTCCCATGCTGAGGCTGTTTCCAAGCAAAATTCATGAATAGGAGAAGAGTAACCACGCCCCTCCTCCCTGCTCTCTGGCTCACTCCTGCACGAAGCACGCCACATGCCCGAAATGTCAGGATCCAGAGAGGAAACAGGTGGATGAAGGCACACAAAGATAGCAGTGTGAGTTGGAGCAGTCTGACTCTGGCCCTGCTCCTACCATGACCTTGCCCTGTTTCCCACAAGGCCCCCAAGGAATCTTTCCAGAGCAATGTCCTAAGAGTGTCAGGGGGGAGCAGTGCTTAAGAAAGCGTGCTCATCTCCGGCTGCACCTACCTGGGAAGCATCCTGATACTACTCTTTCAGATGCTCTCAGGGAATCGGCCTTGGCTTGGCTATTCAAAGCTTCCCAGCGACTCTACGTGGGACCAGGGCTGAGAACCACTGCCTTAACTGTGCAACAGGATGAGACAAGTGGAACATTTGGAGCCCTTCCCAGAAGTGTCAGTCTCCTCACCTGCGGCAGCTTTCCCAACCATTTGTCACCTGTTTCCTGCCCATAGGTGATGAGATGGCTCCATTCCAAGTGGCTTCCTGTTTTCCCATTTGTCCATCCAAAGCTCGTTGTGGCTTCTTTTGAACCCTGGTGAGACTCCTCATTTCAAGCACCTATCCCACCAGGCCTGGGTGAGAGGGTCTCTAAACCTTCTCCTCAAGTAGTTAATCACAGGTGACACAAGCAATGGGGAGAGGGGTGCACAGGCTTCTGGGAGAACACAGAAAGGAGTGGAGGAGATGACCCTCCTTATAGGAGAAGTGCAGAAAAAGTCAACGAGGCAAGGCATTGGAAACCCAAGGAATGGCAAGTCATCTGGAGTATCTCAGAAGAGCATAGAGGGAGACGGAACAGAACAGGCAAGGGCCTGGATGATAAACTAAGGAGTTTTCCTGGCGTGGCGAGGATGTCCTGAAAGTAGAGGAGGCAAGTGACTGGGTTTTGCATTTTAGCAAGATTGCTCTGGTCTTAAACAATGAATAAGCATCAGCAGTGATTGGCATTTAGGGAACATCACTCATCTAAAGAGGGAAAGAGGTCAACACTGCTGTATTACTCCAGTGTGATGGAAAAGTACTAGTACAATTTTTAAGACCATAGCACGTGCAATGGCTGAAAGCATCTTAGCTTGAGTCATTCCAACACGGTCTCTAGTTAGACTGCTCTGGGTCCACAGCTCCTTGTATTCAATGGGCTGTCAACTTTTGAGATTTACAGACCTGAAAGGGTTTCGCAAGTTAGCAGAAGCCGGATGGTACTGTAGCCTTCTCTTGTTGAGACATGCAAGCCCAGTATTTATCATATAGAAAAACACACTAGGAACCTCATGTATTGCCCATCCTCAGTGCCCTGGAGATGAGGAACAGGTCAAAGTCACAATCCACACCCTCTGCAGGACATCCACGCTTTCTTTAGAAATCAGGATCCCTTAGGAGTTCTGAGAACTCAGGTCTGTTCATCTGCATGGATCACAGCAAGACAGAACAACAGTAGAGTCTGGGACATTTTATTTATTATTTATTTTTGAGCCTACAACTGTCATTATTTTTTTCAGTGGCCGAGGCCCACAACCTGACCTGTCAGGGGCTGGCTCCACAGGGCCCTGCTGAGAAGCAGGCCTGTTTTCCGGCCCCCTCCCCTGAGGGATGCTGCAGCCAGCTTCCTTCCACAAGATGCCGAGGTCCCACAACATCCTGCGTGCCTTCCTCAGCGCTTATGTGCACAGATGTTTCTATCTACTAGGAAGAGGAAGTGAGGTAAACACCTGCCAGACCGCTTCACAAGCCACTTCGGGAGAATTCCTTATTTTGCACCAATGGCACAGCCACAGATGTGGGGAGGGTGGAGCACTGGCCAGGGAAGGAAGACTGGCAGGCCTGTTCTTGTTTATTTAGCAGAAGACCCTGGCAAACAGAACAAAATACCAGTAAAGGCAGGCTAGGAAATGACCCCATCCTGTGGCCTTGTTAGGCTTTGTTTTGTTTATGTACCACTGAGCAGCCACGATACCAGCCACCCCAGCCAGCGGCTTTGTTATCTACAGAGCATGGTGCTGGGAGAAAACTCTTGACAGGTCTAGCATCCCATACCATCCTAGCTGACCAGCTTAGCCAAAAATACTCAACTGCACAAAGCAACACGTGCCTTCCCCCCAAACCTGGCCACATGTTTGACCTTTCCTTTCAAAGGCTCATTCAGCAAGATTGACTCATGTTTACAAAATCAAAATCATGAAGCTAAGTCAATATTTTAAAAATTGTTTTTCCCCAGTCCCCAAGGTCATCATTCTGGCCATGGCTATTCTGCAGCCAATTTATCTTCCTGCTGTTGCCATAGATAAAACTATTTTTAGTGCACAACTGGTTGGAAAGCAGAGGATTTTTTTTTTTTAATTTCACAACTCCTGCTGGTTGGCACCCATAATGCCTCTCAGAGCTTTGTTTATCAGCTTACAGAAATTACCCTCCCACCTGTTTTTTTCCCCTTGAGAAATGATTTCAGATAAGAAGGAAGTACAAACTGCAGGTGGCAGCCATTGAACAAAGGCCAGCTGGTGACAGTCTGCTCAGCCACACTGTCCTTGGCCGCTGACTCAGAGAACTCCCTGCTCAGCGTCCGCCGTCACCACCATGTCTGGTTGGCTTGAACATGTGGACAAGGATAGCCCCTAATTTGAGAAGCACTTTGGATGAAACAGAAATATACTTTTTTTTTTTTTTGACAGGCAAAGTGGACAGTGAGAGAGAGAGACAGAGAGAAAGGTCTTCCTTTGCCGTTGGTTCACCCTCCAATGACCGCAGCAGCCGGCGCGCTGCAGCTGGCGCACCGCGCTGATCTGATGGCAGGAGCCAGGTACTTATCCTGGTCTCCCATGTGGGTGCAGGGCCCAAGCACTTGGGCCATCCTCCCACTGCACTCCCTGGCCACAGCAGAGAGCTGGCCTGGAAGAGGGGCAACCGGGACAGAATCCAGCGCCCCGACCGGGACTAGAATGTGGTGTGCCGGCGCCGCAAGGTGGAGGATTAGCCTAGTGAGCCGCAGCGCCAGCCGAAATATACTTTTAATGGCTGACATATAGTATTCAGACAAATGACATTTACTTTCAGCATCCCAATGGCAATCACCCTGTGAACTCCAGCTCACCCTGCAGAGCTAAACTCAACATCCCCTACAGCCCAGAGCCCTTTCTCACATGCAGCGGAAAGATCTTTCCTCTAGATTTCACTCCCTGGCCCATTAGAACAATCACCACTCCACGCAATGGAAATCTACGACAACGTCAACGTCAACCTCCAAAGGTAGAGGAAGCCCCAAGGTCCAGACATCCACCACACAGAACTACAAATATCTAATAAATCAACTAACCAATTGATAAATCTCAGCTTCCCTCCAATCCATCTCCAGAATGCACACACACACACACACACACACACAACCTACGACATCTGCCAGTCCCAAGCAGCATTGGAAACCCTATAAACAAGGAGAATCCTACGACCTTCAGCTATTTCTTCCCAGAGCAAGCGTGAATGCGCCCAGGACGGCCACGCACGGCGTGATTCAGAGCTCTGAGGGCCACAGTCCAAAGCACCTCCCCTGTCTTATTCAGAAGGTAGGGCCTTTGCAAAAGCATGTCACGATGTGCCAGACACCAAAGCACCTGTAACTAAAAATAAACCTCGAAAGTAAATATTTGAGAAATAAATCCTCATAAAAGTTATCTGGTGTACTAGGCACATGGGTGTCCACCCACAGTCTCACCCTCGCACCCCAACCAGTCGCTCCATCTGGACAGTAACCCAGAGAAGTTCATGCAATCTGGTCACACGCGTACCCTGTGTAGGTTTAGGGCCAGCTTTTCAGTGACTTCATTCTTTCTCAATGGCTACTGTGTTCCAGCACAGAAAAATTTCCATAAAAAAAAAAAAAAAAAAAAAAAAAGGAAAATGCCCATCTTGGAGTTGGGCCGGGCCTGCGGTTGGAAACCCCTTGGACATAACAGGGATCTTGCTCTGGGAAGCTAACAGGGACAACTAGAGTCCTCCTGACCTTAAGTGTCTGACGTGTACAAACACAACACACCCCAGAACCCACGCCTTTCTTCCAGAGCTAAATAAAGATAAGTTACAAGGGAACCACCATCCCTTGGCTGAGGTCCTGAATGGAAAAGCAAAGAAGTTTGTCTGGGGCCAGCGCTGTGGCTCACTTGGTTATCCTCCGCCTGGGGTGCCGACATCCCATATGGGCGCCGGGTTCTAGTCCTGATTGCTCCTCTTCCAGTCCAGCTCTCTGCTGTGGCCCGGGAGGGCAGTGGAGGATGGTCCAAGTACTTGGACCCTGCACCTGCATGGGAGACCAGGAGGAAGCACCTGGCTCCTGGCTTCGGATTGGCCTAATCACGTGTTGACCCCCCTGGTGCGGGGGAGGGGGGGACTCATCACTACAGTCTCAGTCCTTGTAAAGAGGTGCCAAGTGGTAAGTATGGAACATCAGGATAAACGGGAGAACTGAGACAGCCACACATCAAGTCCCGAACAATATACTCGGAGGTGCTGATCTGGGAAGAAATGGGGACTATGAAAGAGGTAACTTGCACCTGCCGAACATTTCTTCACAGAGCATCGGGAGAGATGGACAGAGACACTACTAAGACTGCAGAGCAACCGTATCTCCACAGGGAAACTTCCCTGGGGAGGGGCCCAGGGCTTTCAGAGCTGAGGCTGCTGCCAGTGTGCCAGGATTTAAATCAGAAAGTGCTTTGCACAGTCCCACATCTCACACACAACCGGGCTCCTGCGAGTTTGAAAAGCGGGCACCCACCTTGGCTAAACTCACTCCGGAATCACCAACGATAGCAGCAAAGTTTAGCTTTTAAATACACTCATTACTTTCGGGTCTCTGCAGAAATACCGCCCCTGCACCTTATAAACTTGGCTTGACAGAGGAGGCAGGAAGGGGAGGAAGTCTCTGGGAATTCCAGAAAATCCCTAAATCCTAGCCCTCCAGCAGTTGGGGCGGCCATGAGGTGTGCAGAGCGAAGATGGTGACCCCAAGCTGTGACAGAACTGGAAAGTTGGGCCCAGGGGGAAGCGTCGGGGCCAGGGGTCAGCTCCCGCGCGTCGCCATCCCCAGAGCCCTCCAGATGGAGGAATGGGGCGGCGGTGGTTCCCCGACCCCAGCCACTCACCCTCCTGCTGGGCGTCCCGGGCGCCCTGGAGCCGCTGCCCGAGAGCAGGGTGACGGTGGACGTGGAGCGCAGCATCCCGCAGCGGCTGTCGGCGGCGGGCTGGGCAGGGCGCTCCTCCCGGGCAGAATAAGCGTGCGGGACCCGCCCTGCGTGGGGGCCAGCGCGGGCCACTTGCGGCTCCGGCTGCTGCGCGGCGGGAGCGGGAGCGGGCGGGGGCGGGGCCAGGGGCGGGGCCGGGGCGGGGCCGAGCGCGTCGGCCGGACCCGTCCTGCTGCATTTTCTTCCCGGGGCGCAGAGTGAAGCGACGTCCCCGCCCACAGCGCTGCACCGCCCCCAGGGTCAGTCTCGGGGCGGGAAGCGGCCCTAGACGCGCAGGAGACTCAAGGTCCCTGTGTCGCCTGCAGAGTCGGAGTCCGCCTGCCTACTTCAGCCTCGCGGCCCGCTGCTGACCGCCCACTCCCTCCCCTGGTTTCCCCAGCACTCTCTGCCGCCCCCCCCGGCGGGGTGGGGGTCACTGGGACCTTCACCCTTGTCACTCATTGAGTATTTACTGAGTGCCTATCATAAGTCCCTCCCAACAGCCAGCACAATCAACCGGCCCCCTGTCCTTCAGGTGTTTGCAGTCTGGTGGGGACAGCCTGCAACAGCAGGTGCAGGTGCTGAGAAGAGATACTATGTGCCGTGGGAGACCACACGTAGCCTGACAGCCAGAAAGGGGCTCCGAGAGGAAGTGATGACGAAGCTAAGACCTGAAATGCAAGTCCGAGTAAGGCGGACACAGAGGCCATCACAAAACTGCTCCTATTGTTTATTCAGTGATTACCGTGGGGCCTGGCTGTCCAGCACCTGGCATTCATGATATCATTTAATCCTCACAGCCACCCTTTGAGGTGGGCATCATTATTATCCCCATTTTACAGATGAGAACATTGACTCACCGAGGAATTGAGTAACACAGCAACAGCTCCGCCATCTGCTAGGTAGCAAAGCCAGCGAGGGAACCCCTAGTCTGACCCAGTTGGGGAGGAGGGCCTTGCTTGTCTACCCTGCACCCCCCTGGCAGAGGGAGGACACAGTGCCAGGCCAAAAGAGCTGTTATGTGCAAAAACGGGAGTGAGGCAAGGGAAGGTATGTGTATTTTTTAAGAAAGTCGAAATATCCCTGTGCAAGGGGCAAATATTGGAGAAGGAGCCAAAGGACAGGAGGTTGGGTCATGAACAATACGGTGTGTTTAGCTGGGTCTTTGTCCTGGGTGCAAGGTGAGACACAGCCTACCTGGTTCCTCAAAGTCCCAGTCAAACACTGCCTCCCCACTGCGCTCTCCTGGACCCCCTGTCCTGGGTGCTCCTGCTCATAGCCCCAGCAGTTCTTGGGACCCAGTGGGTGTGCCTCTCCTGCTTCCTCCTGAACTCCCAGAGTGAGGCCAAGAGGGAAGATGCAAAAGGAATGGTGCTGAACAGAATTCCAAGGGATCCTGTGAAATGTGGTGCTTTGGCAGGTGAGGAGATGGAGGCCGGTGGCTCTAAGTGACTTTCCCAAAGCCATAGGCGGTTCTGTATCATTCTCCCCACAGCTGTGCCTGGGTCCCGTGTGCTCTGTGTACATTCCTCACCCAGTTCTCACAAGGACCCCACAAGGTGAATGCTAAGGACACTAACGCCATGTGCCCTAGGTTAGCACGTGAATGACAAGGGCCAGCCACCTTGTCCTCTTCCCCTTCTACTTACTCTTGGGAGAGAAGAAAAAAAAAAAAAAACACCCAACACAACAAAAACTGAGTCTGCCTTTCAGTTAAAAGGGGGCAAAATGTATTAAAAGCCACCACGGTAGCAGACCTCTGCTTGGGTACCTCAGTGGAACAAAGCCAGTGATTATTGTTGTTTTGTTATATTGCCCCAAGGAGAAAGGAAGTGCGCTGTTGTTCAGATGTGGTCAAATTAACCTGGCATCATCAATGTTTATTTATATCATGGCGACGAGCAAGTGACCCATGGCGATGGAGGCAGCACTTTGAGAGGGAGGATGCCCCATGCATCCATTTTTCCTCCATCCACCCAAGTTTCTCTCATTTTGCTAATACCGTACTTTCACACTGTGTAGTAGTTCATTTAAAAAGCAGTAGGTTGCTCACCAGCTTCTAAGTTCTGTGGAAGAACAGTGGTATTTACACCTTTGCTTGCCCAATCTGTAGACCAGGTAATTGGCATGTGGTAAGTGCACAGTATATGTTGAATGAATGAAGCAATGTTCTTATAGAACAAGATTTCAGCTCATGATCGTGCAAAACAGAACCTGAGATCCTTGCCAGCTGAGCTTCTAGGGTGGATCTTGGTCTTCAAGCAAGTGCTAGTCGAAGCAGTCACAGTCCCAGGATTGTTCCAACCAGGACAGTTCCCCACAGTTGACTGTCTCAAAGGACTATGGGTGGTGATGGAGCAGATGCCAGGATTGGGCTTAGGCCTCAGCGCCTCCCTACCAGGCCAACACTAGAGGGCTGAGGTCATAAGAAACTGAAAGAAGGCCAAGTGGGAGCCTTCAGAAAGTGAGAAAGAAGGGAAATGGAAAGACACGTAGGACTAGGAAATCAATGGGAAGGTGGATCTAGAATGAAGAGGAAAATGTCAAAAATAAATGATAGTCACAGGTTTCTATTTGAGTGCCAGGAGAAGAAGCTATACAAAAGACGGATTGCCTCTTTTCAAAAGAGAAATCAGACTGAGAACTTCAGCCCCAGCCAGGAGTCCCCAGGCTCTGCAGACCACAGTCGGGAAGAGGACAGAAGTGAGAGGGGCGAACCTGGGGTTTTGGTGTAGAAGGTCACCATGCTCCCCATCCGCATGCCCGGCCGACTCCAGGCCCAAGATGAAGGAGGGCTGGAGCGAACAGGATTAGACAACATTGTCTTGGCTGCCATTGTTTCCCATCCACTAAATTTCTCTGCTGAAGTCCAGGAATGCAGAAAATTCTAGATGCCTGTATAAATTCCCTCCATATATCTCAAAACTAATTACTAAATGACACCTCCTTCTCCCATCCTGGTTCCTAAAATTCCCGTTCAAACCCTCCAGATCTCTGCTTTCTATGTTCTCTTTCTTGCTTTCTGCCTAGACTCTGTTCACACTCTGTCAGCGTCTTTAGTTGAGGAGCTTGTGATGGGACCTATTTCTCTGGCCAAGTCCTGAGCCGCAGACACAGTTACTGTTTCTCAGCGGAAACAATCAGGAATTGGATCACTGGACAAGGGCACAGCATAGGTGAACCCAAGCAGGGCCAGCCTGCCTGACACTTTGTGCCCTCTTCCCTCTGACGTCTCTGATGCCTCCCTTTCTTCCTCTTCCATTCACTTGTGACAACATCCCAAAGTCCTGGCTGACTCTCCTGTTCTGAATGCCGTGCAGACCAAACTTCCACAATGAAGAAAGGACACATTTCCAACCCAAGGTCAAAGTGTTAAATTACAGAGCACCTTTAGATAGAGCAGGACAAGAAATACCCACATTCATGGGGTGTCTGAGAAGCATAGAACAGAGCCTAGAGATAAGGAAAGAAGGCGGAGAGGAACCCAATACCCTGGCCAGATCACCCAGATCCACTGTTTCTAAATCTGTCTAGACACAGGGGCTGGAACCTGCTGCTCACCCACCTTGGGGAATATAAGCTCACTGAAAATAATTCTTCTGGCTCACACAGTGAACCCGATGGAAAAATGAGCAACTGGCAGAGTCATAATAAGCCAATTCATTGAACAAATATGTGCCAAGCACCTATCATTCACAAGGCCCTGGGAACACAGGCACAAATGAGATAGCCCCTACTTTCCAGGGGTCAGGCAGGGAAGAGAGATGTGCACTTAGCAAATGCAATGCTAGCAATTACTCTGTCCAAAACCTTAAAATGCACCAACACGTTTAACAACTCAATGAGCAAGAAACTCAGTGAAGCAGGTACTATTATGTCCATTTTTCAGATGTAGAAATGGAGTGGCAGGGAGGTGAAGTGACTTGCCCATGGAATCAACACTAATAAGTGGTGGAGCTAAGCAAGATGGCTCCAGAGTCTGTGTACTTGCCCATTCACCTCGTCTATTGAGATAGGGACCAGACCAGAGGCGTATTCCAAAGCCCTGTGGTGGGCAGAGTAGAAGCTACTGATGCTAACAGGAAAGGCCTCCCTGGGAAAGTGGTGAGGGAGCTGACCCCAGTGAAAAAGAAGGAAAAGCTAAGGGCATTCCAGACTGAAGAACCAACAGAAACCACTGGGTCAGAGTCTGGGCAGTGCACATGCACCAGTTGAACTTGAACTGCAGGGCAGGAGGGAATGACCAGAGACAAAGCAGGATGGGGTTTGATAGCAAAGGACCTTGAATCCAGTTGAGACCTGACTTCAGGTAATGAGTTATTGAGGGTTGGTGAGCAGGGCAGTGATGTAATCAGATTTGCATCAAGAAAGTTGGCAGGCAGCAGAGGGAGGCATGTAGACAAATGGAAGGCAGAGACTACGGTGAATACTTTGAAGCAGACAGAAGTCATGTTGATTCAACATAAAGCTCCGAATTCAGAGTCAGTGGCAATGCAGAGCAAAGAAGGAGACAGATTCACAAGATGGAAAATCAACAGAACTCAGCGACCAGCTATAAGCTGGGGAACGTTTGTGAACTGCAGATTGCCTTTGCAAACAGCTGACAAATACCTCTATAAAAGGGGAACAGGCCAAGAAAATGAATGAAGTAAAGGATGCACGAGGTGCCAGTGCCTTGGCGCAGTAGGTTAATCCTCTGCGGCGCCGGCATCCCATATGGGCACCAGTTCTAGTCCTGGCTGCTCCTCTTCCAATCCAGCTCTCTGCTGTGGCCTGGGAAAGCAGTAGAAGATGCTTGGGCCCTTGCACCCGCATGGGAGACCAGGAAGAAGCCTCTGGCTCCTGGTTTCAGATCAGCGTGGTTCCGGCCATTGCAGCCATTTGGGGAGTGAACCAATGGAAGGAAGACCTTTCTCTCTCTCTCTCTCTCAGTGTGTGTGTGTGTGTGTGTGTAACTCTACCTCTCAAATAAATAAATAAAATCTAAAAAGGGTGCATGATTATTTTCCGAGCTTTGGAGCTTCTCTCTGCATGAGACACAAATAGACAAATCTCAAAACCTTGAAGAAGGCATTTTTCCAACTTTTCCAAGTGGCTGCTACTAGGAGCTTGCAGCAGGAAACCTTTGGATG